TAGCCGATGAGCATTTTACCGCAACTTCTCACTTAAACAACATCTACTTGGACCAAGCCGAAATACATAAGTTAGTTCTTAATCTTGATCTATCTAAATCAGCTGGTCCAGACCAGTTGCCTGCCAGATTTATCGTTGGTTGCTCTGATGGCATAGTTTTGCCAATATACCTTCTTTTTAAGCGTTCTTTACATGAGTGCACTGTTCCAGCAATATGGAAATCGGCCTTTATTACCCCAGTACATAAGAAAGGCTCTAAGTTCGAGGTTACCAATTACAGACCAATTTCCAAACTTTGTATTATTTCAAAAATATTTGAACGTGTTATTTATACTCAAGTATACGCGGCATTGCAAAATGTATTTAATTCAACTCAGCATGGATTTCTAAAAAATAAATCGACTGTTTCTAATTTAGTTATCTTAAATGATTATCTTACTGATGCCATGCATAGTGGTAAACAGGTTGATGTAATTTATACAGATTATAGCAAGGCGTTTGACAAAATTAACCATTCTATTCTGATTTCAAAGCTACAGAACGTAGGAATCTGTGGCGACTTATTACGATGGTTTATATCATATCTTGAGAAGAGATCGCAAGCAGTCGTGATCAACAATTATATTTCTGCTTGGGTACCTATTCCCAGTGGCGTGCCTCAGGGTTCGTTACTGGGGCCCTTGCTTTTTATTATTTTCATTAACGACATCACTAAGTGCTTTCAATTCTCACGCCTTCTCTGCTTCGCTGATGACATGAAAATTTTTATGAAGGTTGCTTCCATCAATGATGCCAAGTTAATGCAATCTGATTTAGATCGTCTTTGTCATTATTGTTTACTAAACAAACTTGATCTTAATCCAACTAAATGTCATGTTGTTACTTACACTCGAAAAATCAACCAAATAGCCTACAAGTATAAACTAAATGAACATGAACTAATTAAACTTAATAGTACACGTGACTTAGGTATTGTTCATGACAGCAAACTCACATTCGATGAACACGTTAACTCTATAGTGACTAAAGCCTCCAAAATGCTTGGATTTGTTATGCGTAACTCTCAACATTTTCGTAAAGCTAAAACTATTAAAATACTATACTGTACTTTTGTTCGCAGTCACTTAGAATACGCTTCACAAGTTTGGAATCCTCGATATAATATCTATATAGAACGAATTGAAAGAATTCAGCGTAAATTTATAAAGTACCTTTGTTTTAAATTAAATATTGCCTATAACTCTAATAATTATGATAACCTTTGTAAAAAACATCATCTACTTCCTCTTTACTTGCGGCGTGAGGTTTCCGACATTATATATTATTTAAAGATCGTTAAAGGTTGGGTGGATTGCCCGGAGCTCTTATCCAAAGTTGACTTCAATGCACAGAGAATATCTTTAAGGCATCGAAATCTAATTTCTTTGCCACTAGCTTCCACTAACTATAGGCAAAACTCATTCTTTTTACGTGTTGGTGGTGACCTCAACAGACTTGGCAGGTTCTTAGATATTGACCCATTTTATTCCTCTATCACAGGACTTAGACGTCAGCTTAGTGCCCGATTTTTCGTGGGCGATGAGGGGGCAGAGGTTGCGGGGCCATGTGCCGGTGATGTGTAGCACAACAGTTTTTTATTAATTTGTGACATTTATACATAAGTATACATTTAAATTAGTCTGGTGTTTTCCTCCATTCCTTATGTTGTTTCATGCTTGCTGATTGTTTTTAAATTTTTTTGTTTCTATGCTTTTGTTTCTCTAGTGTTTTTAATTAGTTTATATTGGTGAGAACCTTTAATTGGCTTTTTGTTTCTATTATTTGTTATATTATTACACTTTGTTAGTTGGCTGTTGGTTCTCCTTGTATTAAATAAATAAATAAATAAATAAAAAATCAGATCCTGATCCTGATGATTACAGGAACATTCGGGAAGTCTACCCGTTTCGAACCATAAAAAGATAAAAAGAATTATGAGTTTCAAGCATTCTCGAGAAATCGGTGAATATACATAGATAAAAAATTGTGGTCGAATTGATTACCTCCTCTTTTGAAGTCGATTAAAAAGCGTGATTTTGGTACCTTAAATAGCTCCTTAACGTTCTAAATTATTGTTCAAAAATATTTTCACCTTCTACGTGAAGGAAGTCAAGGGTAAAAGCTAGTTTTTTTTATAATATGTAGGTGCAACTTTAGTATTTAGTTAATTAAGATTAATTAAAGTTACGTTATGTACGTAAGTTACGCATGTAAGCAATTATTGAAGAGAGTTCAACTGCGGAAGCCTCACCTTCCGGCTCACACAAATGCTTACCGGCCACGGATGCTTTAACCGATACTTGCACAAAATTGCCGAAAGGGAACCGATGGCGTAATGGTGGCACCATTGCGCAGACCGCGACGTGGATGATACAGCGGAACGTACATTGGCGCGTTGCTCTGGATTCGAAGAGCAGCGCGCCGCCCTCGTCGCGGTCATGGCCGCCTGCCGCGCGTCGTGGTTACCATGCTCGGTAGCGAAGCATCCTGGAAGGCGATGCTCGACTTCTGCGAGTCTACCATATCGTAGAAGGAGGCCTCGTTCCGCCGCCTTGGGAGAGCTCTTCCGCTTCGCTTCTCCGCATTGATCTGTCGCTGTCGAGCCGGGGGACAGAGGAGACAGTACGAGCGTACGTTCCGACCCTGGTAGGAGGCGGCTTCCCCCCCCTGAAGGTCATGGGGCGATCTGAAGGGGATGAGGCGCTACCAGCGCTCTAGCGCTTTGCTAAGGAGAGTGTCGGGATACTTCGGGTCGACATGTCGAGCGGTAGGCAGCGGCTTGGCTCTGCCCCTGGCATTTCTGAAGTCCATGGGCGACGGTAACCACTCACCATCAGATGGGCCGTATGTTCGTCTGCCTACAAGGGCAATAAAAAAAATATATATATATCCAATATCGGAGTCATTTGGAAGGCAAAGCCAAGTTGCCGTCCAAAATGCTGGGAGTCCTCAAAAGAGCGAAGCGGTACTTCAGGCCTGGACAAAGACTTTTGCTTTATAAAGCACAAGTCCGACCTCGCGTGGAGTATACCAGCTACTTCCATTTGACTCCATACAGAAGAGGGTCGTTCGGATTATTGATAATCCCATTCTCACGGATCGTTTGGAGCTTCTGGGTCTGCGGAGGGACTTCGGTTCCCTCTATCTTTTGTACCGTATGTTCCATGGGGAGTACTCTGAGGAATTGCTTGAGATGATATCGTCATCTCGTTTTTACCATCGCACCGCACGCCACCGGAGTAGAGTTCATCCATACTACCTGGAGCCACTGCGTTCATCACATTGCGTTTTCAGAGATATTTTTTGCCACGTACCAACTGGCTCTGGAATGATCTCCGCTCCACGGTGTTTCTCAAGTGCTATGTCATATCTTTCTTCAAACGAGGCTTGTAGAAAGTACTTAACGATAGGTAGCGGCTTGGCTCTGCCCCTGGTATTGCTGAAATGCACGGGCGAAGGTAACCACTCACCATCAGGTGGGCTGTATGTTCGTCTGCCTACAAGGACAAAAAAAAGGAGAGTCACAAATAGCGTGAAAAGAGCAATCGGTTGGCGGTGTATCGCGTCCCGATCCGGCGAGGAATTTTTTCCGTCTCGTCCAACAATACGATGGGGCGGCACCCCGCAGGCGAGTTTGTAGGGTGCCCGTCCTTCCTCAGCAGGACGAGTCTGCCCGTCTTTCACTGCTTCGGAAACCGCCCCGCCTCGAGGCAGGCTTCGAAGAGACGCTCGAGCCGGTCCTCAAGGACACCGAAGGCTAAATCCCAGGAGTGAACAGTGAACACCGTCAGGGCCGAGGGCCTATACCACCATGGCCGCATTTTCTTGCGAACCGTTGTGACAGACAGGTCGCGACTGGACACCTGCTTAGAAGTCCTGTTTTGAAGTCGTCGTGGCCTAAAGGATAAGACGTCCGGTGCATTCGTGTTGAGCGATACACCGGTGTTCGAATCTCAGGCGGGTCCCAATTTTTTTGTGAAATACGTACTCAACAAATGTTCACGATTGACTTCCACGGTGAAGGAATAAGATCGCGTAATAAAAATTAAAATTAAAAAAATAATTAAAGAGTTGAAATAAAAAATCCGTTACCCTCGGACAGTAATCCAGGAAATGGCGAATCGATATTAAGCCTGCACATTCGTACTAAAGGGGGAAATCAACGGGAATTTCCCCCCACATTAGGCGAAGGAATCTTACACCCCGATCTCTCGCACGCCTGGGTCTCGAATCCATCACAAGACACCTGAAGTCAACGTCGAAACGGTACCCCCTACTTCAATAAGGAGCTGCGTCATGAAAATCGCCTTATCGTGGTCACCGCTGATTACTCCTCCACCCCGGCTCACGCAGGAGCCAGTCACCGTCGATACCCTAGACACGTCCTTACGGATCCATCCGATCCATTAACATTGTCATTAGACGCCTGCACTTTTAGCATTAAGAACAGGCCTAAGGACCGCGATACCTGCACTCGTCAAACTCGCCAAAAAGTTCGACACGCGGCCTAACCCATACATCAATCAGCCCGTTGAGCTTCTCGCCGCGTCTTCTTAGCGGTAGTAGATGCATGAAGCAGCTGCCCTTGAGCTGTTAAGTCTCACCCTCGCTTGTAGGTCATTCGAGGTGCTCATTTCGGTAAAGTTACTCGACTAACAAGACCGAGACGGTACCTAGGCGATCGAAGATCTTGAACTCACTCAATAGAACTAGCAAACATACCTGCTGCTAAGGAACTTCCTACAAATTTAAGTTAACATTCACGCTATCGAGTAGCCCGATCGAGAAAACAAAAGGAATACACTCCGAGCACACTGCCGTGAATCCACACTGTTTAATTTTTTATTGAGTGCTTATCTAAATTTCCCAAAGAGGATGAGATTGAGGAATACGAAAATAAAGAAAGGTTTTTTTGTAAATGAAATTATTTTATTATTAATGAATCATTCGCCAGTCGTCATTTAAATTCTAGCCCGGATCCAGGAGTTAAAAGATGTGACTCTGGCGAAGGCGGCGGGGAAGCCTCTCTGGCAGCCTTGGGCTGATCCGAACGATGTGATACCGATCTGGAAAGTACAAGAAACAAATGGTAAATGTAGTGAGTCATAAAAGCCTATCCTAATAAATAAACATATAAACAAACAGAGAATCTATAGGTCAGTCCGACAGAAGCACCCGCCGCCTGCGGACGTGCTCATCGACCACTCAATCGCCCGGCCATTGTTCGCCCGGTTTTTTGTTATCCCGGCTTTTGTTCGTGGCACATCTGCCGACAAAGTGTTTTCCTAGAAGGGTTTGTTCTGTTTTGGTTTCTTTTTGTTGTTTCCTTTTTTTTGTTATTCTTTCTTTTTTCCTGCAGTAATTGTGTGTGTTCGCGAGCGCGTGCTCCGCCGTGTCCTCGTTGCAGCCACTGCAGTGGTGGCACTTCGGCGTCGGCTCCCTCCGGGCGACGAGGTGCAGGTAGCGGCCGAAACAGCCGTGTCCCGTGAGCACCTGCGTCGCTCGGCAAAGATTTCGACGTGCAACCTAACCCATGCATCAGCCCGCCGAGTTTCTCGCCGGATCTTCTCAGCGGGTCGCGATTCCGATCCGGTAGTAGATTCATTCGCGAAGCAATTGCTCTTGAATTGTTAGGTCTCCTTCGGAGGCGCTTGGGCAGTTGTTAGCAAATCCCACCCCTCCTCACTGAGCCTGACTCGCCCGCCTGTCTTGGTGATACTGCAAAGGCCTTCGAGCCACCAGTAATCTTTCAATCATGAAAAAAAAGAATCTATAGGCAACCAGTTAAAGCAGTAAAGTTAAAAACAAGTAGTGTACTGACCAGCTGACGGCCTCCGCCGCTGCCGATGGAGAGAGGGCCGCCGGAGTCTCCCCTGCAGGTGCTGCGACCGTTAGAGCCATCAACACAGAGGGTGGAGCCAATGATCAGAGTGTTTCCAAAAGTCCGGGCGCAGACGGCGTTAGTAATGACCTGAAGGCTGACTTGGCGTTTTTGTTGGTTGTTGGCTCCCGAAGCAGCTGGAATGGTCAATCAATTTTATCCTGTTAGTCGCGGTATCAAAGCAGAATACAAAAGGAGAGCATTCAGTATTTGTTTATTCCATTTAATTTTGTAATATCCTAATATTACCTGTAACAGTAGAATTGATAAATACTAACCATCGGAAGTTCTGCCGAAGCCGGCAGCCCAGGCCCAAGTGCCAGCAAAGTTGTTGCTTCCACTGGCTAAGTTGATGCGCTGGATGTTGTCTGTAATGAGGTGAAGAGACAGAATCACATTACAGGTGTAAGAACTCTAAAATAATCAATAATTTAAACAAAGCATAAATAATGGTACTGACTGTTGAAGCCAACATGGTTGTGGTTGATGACGGCGACGTCATTGTGGAGGTTGTTCATGTTGTAGCTGCCGTGCATATGGACACTGGAGGTGGTGACCCTGGTGCCTCCGGAGAAGATGTTAGCTGTCCCAAAAGCGAGGGTGAACTGACGAGCCTGGGCATCCCTCGACCTCCAGCAGTGAGCAGCGGTCACAGAGCGGGTGTTGGTCAGTAAGGAAGCTCCGCAGATGGAAGTTCTGCCATTCGTGAGTGCGATCACAAGTCCAGCCTATGATATGAAAAAATAAGAAAAATCAAGTATTTTGATGCGAAATAACATTGTACATTTCAAGGAACAATATACAATTTAGTTTATCTTTTAGAGACGTGCGCTAACAGCCGGAGAGTCCCAGCAGGAGGGTACACGTCGCCGACTCTCCTCTGGACTAACACAGTTATGGATCCGGTGATAGACACGTGGACACAGTCACTGAGTATCTCGCCGGATCTTCCGAGTGGGACGCGATTCCGATCCGGTGATAGACTCTGTGAAGCACTGCTCTTCCTAGGACTGGTGTTAGTGAATTCTAACAGCTTAAGCTTTTGAGCTCACCCACCCGTCCGCGCGAAGTTGGAATAGAGTGAATAGGTAGAAAAATAATAATAATTATAATTATCCAAGCTTCCCAACTTCCTTACTACTGGGATCACTCACCTCATTCCAAAATCGGAAAGTACCGCGGATCCGGCATAGTACCGGCCAATAACGTGTCTTCCTACCACCTATAAGACACTGACATCCGTTCTGGAAACTAAGATCTCACACCACATAGACAGCTGTCGAGTACTGTCTGGTGCCCAGAACGGGTGTAGGCGTGGTAGCCGCGGTACTAAGGAACTCCTCTTGATCGACGCGGTATCTGGCCAGCAGGTCAAACGCAACTGACAAAATTTCTCTGCCGCCTGGATAGACTATAAAAAGGCATTTGACTCGGTCCCCCATACATGGCTGAAGAGGGTCTTCAGGCTGTATAAGATAGACAATACAGTTCGAGACTTCCTCGGTGCCTGTATAGGGCAATGGAGTACAATGTTAAGTCTATCCCGTGTGCGGCTGTCGGCTGTGGAAGACCGAATAAAGGTGAATCGGGGTATATTTCAGGGTGATTGTCTGAGTCCATTGTGATTTTGCCTGGCCCTGAATCCTCTCAGTTCATTACTGGAGGCTTCGAGGACAGGCTTTCAGTTCTGAAGGGGGGGCTTGAAGGTATCCCACTTGTTCTACATGGATGACCTCAAGTTGTACGCTCCTCATGCTGCCGGCCTCGGGCGACTGCTTGACATCACTTGTGATTTCAGTAGTCGCATTAGGATGAAGCTGGGAGTCGACAAGTGTGCGGTTCTCCATGTAGAGAGAGGGAGAATAGTTTCATCGGATCGTTTGCCCGTATCCGATGGGATAAGCCTTCGGGTACTCTCCGAGGGAGAAACACACCGGTACCTGGGCATGTCGCAAAATATAGGTATTGACGTGGCGGTTGTCAAACAGGCTGCATGCGACGTGTTTTATGAACGTCTGACAAAAGTGTGTAAGAGCCTTTTGTCGGGCGTGAATAAGACAAGGGCGTTTAACGGCTGGGTGATGCCCGTCCTGTTGTATACCTTCGGCGTGCTCAGGTGGACTCAGACCGAACTGGACGCCCTGGTTAGAAAAGTCCACTCAATTATGACCCTCCATAGGATGCTCCACCCGAAGTCCTCGGTAATGAGATTGTACATTCTGCGGAAGTGTGGTGGCCGGGGTCTACTTAGCGCCAAGGTCATGCATAGCAGTGGGGTGTGCAGTCTCAGGGAATATTTCCTATCGAGGGCTGACAGTGTGATGCACAGAGAGGTCATGGAATGCGACAAAGGACTGACCCCGCTAGCCCTGGCCAGAGACGGGTGGAAATCACCGGCGGTACTCAGTACCTCTGACCGTGAGGCCATATGGAAAGGGAAAGAACTGCACGGACGCTTCTTTCATGCACTGCATGAGCCCCAAGTGGACAAAGAAGCCTCCGTGCACTGGCTGCGATTCGGTGATTCGGTGACCTCTTTGGGGAAGCCGAGGGTTTTGTCTGTGCAATACAGGATCAGGTTATCAGGAAGAACAACTATAGGAAGCACATTATGCCGCCGACCGGGTGAATCCCTCAGACATGTCACCTCTGGTTGTTCTATGTTTGCTAACACTGAGTACTTAGACAGACATAACCAAGCAGCTAGAATCCTCCACCAAGAACTCGCCCTTAAGTATGGCCTCATCGAACAGAGGCTACCGTATTATAAGTACCAGCCGCCGTACTCGACGCCGTACTCGCAAACGACCGCGCCAAGCTCTACTGGGACCGGCCCATCATCACGGACTATTTTTGCGAATAAGCCTGATATCGTGCTGATGGACTAGACGGAGTCTCGGGTATTTCTGGTGGATATCACCATCCCCTACGACAAGAACCTCGTGCGGGCCGAGGCAGATAAAAAGACCAAATATTTGGACCTGGCGCACGAGGTGACCGACACGTGGAGGATGGTATCTACATAAATAATCCCGGTAGTTGTATCGGTGAATGGTTTGGTCCCTAAAAGCCTCTCAAGACATCTCGAGAGGCTTGGTCTCAACAAAAAGTCGGTGGTGGCTCAAATGCAAAAAGCAGTCTTGCTCGACAATGCCCGTATAGTTCGTCGGTTTCTCTCCCAATAGTCCCTAATGCTCCGGCCGATTCTTGCCCACCTCGTCGGAGTATGTCCTGCCGTCTTCCCAGAAGAGGCAGTGTTTAATACACATAATAATTAAATGACTAATATGCTATATTTCCATTAAAATTTGAATGAAAGTTTGAAATCGGTAGGATTAGGGTGTATTGGATAGCAGTAGGTACTTACAAGATGGGGGTGAGCACCAGCGTTGGCGGCAGAACCACCCACAATCCTGGTACCGTCGAAGTCAGCGGCTTCCTCGGCGCGCTTAAGACTCTCGGCCCGGGGGATACCGATCTTGGTGTGGTAGTCAAGTTCGATAGCCTCTTCTGCCACGACCACGGCCGCCAACGCCATCAGTACTGCTGCGAAGACCTTCATGGCTACTACCAGTTTACAGGTTCCCTCGAGTAGAATGTTGTCAGTTATCACTTCGGTGTCTTTTATAGTTGCAAAAATAGTATCTTATCTCAACAAAAGTATCATTTCAAAATTTAATTAATAAATTTGACATGTAAATAACGATAAAATTAAATTGCGAAAATAATCCCCACTGCTCATAAAATCATCATATATAGTAAATTGACGAGATCTTGTTTGTATGTCAACAATATACCAACGGGCGGGCCCGGCGTGTCCTGTGAATTAGCCGCCTGATCTAAACATTTACGGTTCTTACCAAATGTTTGAAGGCTTATTCATGAGCCACTTGTTAAAGTATTGTTACGACGGTAAGGGTAACGCTATCTATCGCCGAATAGTCGAGGAAATATCTAGAACGCTCGAGAAGTACAACGTCATCTATTGCCAGATAGCGGAAACACACAATACTAGACTTTTGTGGAATATTCTCGACGATTCTAGGGATTTAGTCTCGGCTATAAAAGCGCTGCAGGGATGGCAGGCAGTCAGTTAGTAATCGGAGCTACTCGAAGCGAAACAGCGAACGGATCACCTGAGGCGAAGCGGAAGAAGCGAATCGAGATTTTTAAAGTGATTGTGAAGTGTTTTTTAGTTGTACTTTGGTGGAATTTTATTTATCCCGAACCCCAGCGCGTAACAATTTGGTGTCAGAAGTGGAATAAATAATGCCAGTTTTACCGAATGACACGGCGGTAGGCACAGAGGTCAGCGCCAGCAAGAGTTGGACCAAAGGCGGTTTGAAGGTTCTACAACACCGACCGAAGAACACCTGGCTGAAGCTGCGGCAATGGAATCAACCGCGGGTACATCTAGTATTTCCCCGGCAGTAGTAACTCCCTTTTTTTTTTTCGGGCTGGGGGCCGAACCTCCTTCGAAGTCCCCGTGCCTAGAGGGTGCGCGGGGTATGTGGTACTTGATGATCTGCAAGGTGTTGGGAGCAGACCGCGGGCCCAAGGAATTTTAGGGCCCACCCATTAAACGACTCCCCTGCACTCTTCGCCCAAGCGTCCGTTCCCCTCCGAGGTCAGTACCCGGATGAGGTAGGGGAGTCACCGCGGTCAACACTACAACCAGACAGCGCGGCTCACCCCAAGGACGCCCAGCCGACGAAGCCTTCGAGGCGAATCGAAGGCTCTGAAACGTCGGCCGTCTCGGTACGGCAGCCCGTCAGGCCGCCCAGACGGTGCCGCTGGTGTCCCAGAATACTCCGCTGGAACAGAACCAGCCTGCCGGGTCGGGACGCGATACACCACCAACCGGTCGCTATTTCGTATCTCCTTGGCAGCGCGCTAGAGTGCTGGTAGCGCACCGCGCGGCCTCTACCCCCTCAGGTCGCCCCTTGACCTTCACCGGGGGGAAGCCGCCATCTACAGGGGCCGGGACGTACGGGTGTATTCCCTCCTCCGGCCCCCGGCTCGACGGCGATGAATCGGTGCGGAAAGGGAAGAGCTCTCACTCTCTCGTTCCGCCGCCTCCTTCTGCGATATGGTGGACCCGCAGAAGTCGAGCATCACCTTTCAGGACGCGTCGTTGCCGAGCATCGTAGCCACGACGCGCGGCAGCGAGAGGTCCTCTCCTATGACCGCGACGAGGGCGGCGCGTTGCTCGTCGAATCCAGAGCAACGCACCAGTGTGTGTTCCGCTGTGTCTTCCTCGTCGCGGTCTGCGCAATGGTGGCGCTGCACTGTCGGTTCCCTTCCAGCTATTTTGTGTAGATACCGGCCAAAACAACAACGGCGATCGCGCGCTGCGGACGTCGCAGCGTGGCGACGTTCTTGCGGGTCAGGGCCTGGCACCAAACGGGCGCGCCGTAAAGTGCCATAAACCGAACCACCCCCACGTATAGGCGGCGCGCTACCTCAGCGGGACCCCCGACGTCTGGAAGAAGCCGGCTCAGAGAGCCGGCCGTCGCCATCAGCCGAGGGCCCAACTTTTTGAAATGAGCCCGTCGCCAGGAGGAGCAGGCCCGTCGCCAGGAGGGGCAAGCCCGTCGCCAAGAGAAGCAGGCCCATCGTCAGGAGGAGGAGTTGGTTCGCAGGCTGAAGGAGTACACTCGGTGACAGGAAGAACAGATCGTCGGCCCCCACGTACAACGCGTCATATCAAAAATGGTGGTTTACAGGAGAGGGTTTTAAAGTTTCAAATTGATCTGTAATTAAATCTTAAAAGTAACTTCTGTCATTTAGTATTGATTTAAAGTATTCAATTTAGGCCGGTTCTAATGGTATAATAATTGTTTATAATTTCCTCGATTTTCCCGGAAAAGTAGTTATGTGACTGTGTCTACCACAACTATGAAATAGGATCATAAACGTATAAGTCTTATATGTCTGTTTGTATGTGGGAGATGTCAAAACATTTTTTTATGAAGAAACAAAATCAATGTGAAAGGAAAGGCTATTGCCACTATTTTTAAGTTCTTTACTTTCAAATAGATGAAATTTTACCCAAGTGTAAAAAACATCAACAATATAGACATAGCCTTTTTTTATTTTTTGAAAAATAAACACGGCTGTGCAAACTCGAGCAGAATTAGACTGAGCCTCAATTTTATCAATAGCATTTAATTTTCTGGCAATTTTTTTATTATTAATGTGATTATTATGGCTTAGTTTATCAGAATCAGATGGTCAAGTTTAATACACTTTATTGCACACCAAAATCCAATTTACATTCAAAAAACAGTCAAAAAGCAGATACATTTGTACAATAGGCAGTCTTATCGCTAAAAGCGATCTCTTCCAGACAACCGTTCAATTTACAGAAATTCTGGAAAATATAAAAATATAGCGTGATAAGTGTCGGATGGTTCTTCGCTAGCCTCTCATATCTTTTGAACACATAACCATTTCAGCGTCATATTTATCTATTGCAGATTGGATGAAGGTGTTGCTTATCGAAAGTGTATTTTTAAACATGGTCTTACACACGTTAACTGATTTAATTCGACTATCGGGTAATTTTCTAAAGGCACAAAAAACTTAAATAGTTGAGTTTTTCATGCCTTTACGTATTTACGTTGAATCTCTTAGAATCCTAAGTTCATTGTTTTTTCGTTATCTTTTTATATTCGAAGCAAAAAAAGTCCACTGAGAGTAATGATTAACTAACTTCCAAAATTTATTAAAGAGTTTCTCTCGTGTGAGCAAATCAAACTTTTCAAAGCATTTGAATCGACATATTTTTACCCATCTGTTCATTACCTGAGCGAGAAATGTGTTTTTTACCTAAATCGACAAGCAGTTTTCTTTTTACATCTAGCCAATTTGATTTATTAGTAGTTTTGTTCTTAACTAATGCCTTTTTTTACGCTTCTTTTTTTTTGAATGTTGAAGAGCCTGAAAATTCGCTAGATGCTAATGGGCTGGACCTAATAGAAGAACCAGAATCTGAAAAGACTGGAGCACTTCCACGAAACGAGTCGTAATCTGTAACAATATCTCCAAACGAAGTATATGGGCTTGGTACTGGTGTTACAATGAAAGCATCAGGTGTGGAAAGGTTTTCTGAACAAGATTCTTCATCAGCTTTGAAAGATGTAAAGATGTAAATGCACTTGGCTAGTAAAAGCTGAAGAAACGTTTAAATTATTGTTATTTTTCTCATTACAATCATGAAGCTTATCATTACAAATAACATCTATCGTGTCAGTTATATAATTGAAATCACTCTGAGATAGCAAATTACCAATTCATTATTATTATTATTATTAGTACTTTATTTCAGTTTTTTTTTTTTAAAATCATAACATTTTGTTAGTAGTAATTACTTATATCTATGTTAGTAACTTAAAAAATCTAACACATAACTATCATTATATACATTTTATACCATTACATTTTTTATTTTATTTTTTCTCCTTCCAAGTGCCTACTGCAAAGGCTATTGATCAGCAGTCCCTCGATCTTGCTCGATATGATTCTCAAAAGACTGTTGCCACTGTCACGAACTCGACGCAATAACGATGCACTTCTCTTCCGCATTATTGCAAAGAAGTNGCCACTGTCACGAACTCGACGCAATAACGATGCACTTCTCTTCCGCATTATTGCAAAGAAGTCATCGGTGTGAGATGTCGCAAACATTGTGGATGCACTACAAAAGCGCGGCAGTGACAACATCATCCTAAACGCATTATTATATTGAACGCGTAGGGCATTGTAAGCTCTCCGCGTGTATGTGGTCCACAGACTACTGACGTAAAAATTCTGGCAATAAGCTTTAAAAATTGTAAGTTTGACATAGCTATCGCAACCAGTAAATCTGCGGGCCAACATATTGCATCTTACTATCAACGCCCTACGCTCCCTATCTATATCACAATCATCCGTACCATCCTCTGTTACCCAGTGACCGAGGTACTTGAAGCGCTTGACTTGTGTAAGCGTTGCGCCTGCTAGCCAGATTGGAGGTACGTTCTCGTAAGTTTTGTTCTGCGCTTTGAACACTAGCAGTTCGCTCTTCTTGGCATTGTACCTCAGCCCGTGGGACTCAGCATAGTTCTCACAAATTTTTAAAAGTTTCCTGAGTACACTCATAGATGGGCTCAGCAATACCATATCGTCTGCATAACTAATATTGTTAAAAGAAACTCCATCGATCATGCAGCCGACACCCGCACTACTGAGCTCATCGATGAGCTTATTTATGTATATGCTAAATAGCAAAGGTGAGGTTAGACCCCCCTGCCTCACACCACATTCTAAACGGTACGCATCAGAGTGCGCACCGGCCCATCTCACACTATTATTTTGATTGCCATACCAATACTGAAAAATTTTAATTAATTCAGGCGGCAGCTTTACTTTCCTAGCTAACTTATTCCATAGTACATCATATCGAACAAGATCAAAAGCCCTGGACAGATCCAGGAAACATGCGTACATAGGTGTCTTCCTCCCAGTATAATACTGCACAGTACTCTTAAGTGTCATTATCGCAGTATCAGTCAATAACCTATTCCTAAAACCAAACTGCCTATCATTAAGATGCACTTGTTTATTTAGGCAACTATTTAGTAAGCTATCGAAAATAATTAATCGATTAATGTCGTGTCGAGTTCATTATCCAATGCAATTTCAGGTTTTGGAGTCCTTTTGTTTGTCAAATACGATGACTGATGTTGGTGTGAGACTATATTGCTTTGTGGGACTGGTCCCTCTGAAAAAAATAATATTCAAAACACTTTGAGTACAAACTTACATAGAAACAACTCAGCAAATACTTAAATCGTAAAATGAAACGTAAACACGGACATGTATGACGTGACTTTGTCTTCTTAATCAATCTTAAAAAATAACTTTTAATTCATATAATTTAAAAATTGGTACCCCTGCGGGATTCGAACACCGGTGCATCGCTAGAGACGAATGTACCGGACGTCTTATCCTTTACCACGACGACTTCATGCTTCTGATTAAGGATCTAAAATACACTTTCGGCAAAGACCTGACGGAGATAAAAGAGCAGGTCCAACAGAACGAGGACCGTATTTCTCAGCACGAGAGCCGGATTGGAAGACCCTGGAAAACATGAAAACAGGAACAGTAACATCAGCCTCAGTTACTGTTGTTCCTTCCATGCGGCGGTTCAAAGTTCCGCCATTCGATGGAACAACCTCGTGGTCAGCCTACAGGATCCAGTTTGAGGCGGTTATGAAAGCAAACGGCTGGAGCAAGTCACAGGCTATGACGGCGCTTACTTTGGGAGTCCGTGAACAAGCTTTGACCATCCTGGAAGCCTTAGGTAAGGACCTATGAGCAGCTCGTGGAGGCGTTGGAGTCCAGGTATGGAACACGTTTTTCGTGCCCAGTTGAAGGAACGAGTGCAGCGCGGCAACGAGAATCTCCAACAGTAGGCTCTGGAGGTTGAGAAGTCCGCAAGGCGTACTGATCTTGACCTGCCCTTATTGACAGTAACCTGGTGCAAGCATTCATCGACGGTATCCGAGACTTGGAAGTCAGAGCTGCGGTGCGATTGGGTCATCACGAGGTCCTGATGGATGCCTTAGCTCATGCTTTGGAGGTAGAGGCCGTAAGGCAGGATCATCGAGCTCATCGTGTCACAGTTTCACCTGCATACGAAGGATCTCAAAGATACGGTCCCAGATGCTACACCTTTGGCGAAAGAGGCCACCTCTGGCTGAGTTGCACGGCGAGAGGTACAGCGAAAGATGAACGTTGGGAAAAAAGAGGCAACAGGTGACAGCCAGCAGCAGCAGAAAAACAAATAAATGCCAGGACTATGGGGCGGGTGCTGGATGGTGATCGAAGAGCCCCCACGGTTTCGATCTCACATGCACGTGACGGGAAAGACAGACGGTCTAGAAAGTTCGATTTCACTATTGAACATCGCAGTGGAAGATCCCATGGTAACGCGGACGGACTGTCTAGAAGACCTTGCGTTGAGAACAGTAATCACTGCTCTAGACAGCAGACTCAGGAGGTTGTGTCCGTGCGGACGCTGAGAAAGGATCTCAGTGAAATATGGAAGAAAGCCTTGCAGCAAGCCCAGGAAAATGATGTGGGAATCAAACCAATACTCGAGTGGCTTAAAAATAGTGCACCTAAACCGAAGTGGAGTGACGTTGCAGCTATGAGCTCAATTACAAAAAGTTATTGGGCAAAGTGGAACAGCTTGCTCATCCAAGAAGGAGACTTGTGTCGAAGATGGGAAAACTGTAGCGTGCAACACTGGGTTGCACTCGGGCGTCATCGGATGCGATCGGAGTTCCCGAACGCGCAGGTGTCCCGTGACGCCATCCAACGAGATTCGCGCGCGTCGATTTAAGTTGATTGTAAAACGTTTTAGTTAATTTTAGTTTGAATTGGTGTCTTGTAGTGCCTAGCGACTTGTTTACTCTTTTTAGTTTACATTGTACACATTATAGATATTGTTCAAATGGTGTGTTTGTCTTTTATATGTTCGGAGTAAAATATCCCGCGAATGCGAAGGACAAATAACTAACCACAGTGGTGACCCCGACGTGATTCAGTTGACAGTGACAAGTTATAAATATAATAAATCGCTGCATTAACGAGGACATAGTGATGACTTCAAATAGCGGCAAGATGGACAGTACGAGCGAGGTTTGTCGTGTTGGTGTTAAAGTCCCGCCATTTTGGTCTAATGAGCCCGCGTTGTGTTTCGTACAATTGGAAGGACAAAATACAAAATACAAAAATTCTTTATTTTCAAATACGAGTCAAAACAATACATTGATTGGAGTCTCCTTTTAAGCGTGCAAGCCTGTACTAGGAGACTCCGCTCTTCCATAAAAGCACTTTATTTACTATAAGGGCCTGGCCACAGCTACTGGCGGTGCGTTACGAGACGCGACGGGCGGCGCGATTTGCGGGGGTATGCCACAGCTAGACTAGTTGCGACGGCGGCGGCGTCAGAGGTGCACGTATTTAGAGAGAGCCCTATCAAATGTCCCTATCAAAAGTGGCACGATATTACCTTGAAATAAGTGCGTTCTTAGCTGTAGATATTATTCAATCAAGAATAGGAGCGCACCCAGTTAGAAAAGGAGAGAAGGAAAGAAGGAAGGAGAGGTCAAATACTTAGGCGTCACCCTCGACAGAGGGATGACATTCCGCCCCCACATAAAGACGGTACGCAACCGTGCCGCCTTCATACTAGGACGCCTCTACCCGATGATATGCAGGCGAAGTAAAATGTCCCTTAGAAATAAGGTGACACTCTACAAAACTTGCATACGCCCCGTCATGACCTATGCAAGTGTAGTGTTCGCTCACGCGGCCCGCACTAACTTAAAATCATTCTAAGTAATTCAATCCCGTTTTTGCAGGATAGCCGTCGGGGCTCCGTGGTTCGTCAGGAACGTCGACCTCCATGACGAATTGGACTTAGAGTCCATCAGTAAGTATCTGCAGTCGGCGTCCATGCGCCACTTCGATAAAACGCACGACACGAGAACCCTCTCATCGTGGCCGCCGGTAACTACATTCCCGATCCTGCGGACAGAATGGAAAGCAGTCGACGTCGCCCCAAACACGTCATTTCGGATCCTCCCGATCCACTAACGGTGCTTTTAGGTACCTCAAGCACCGGTCACCGTTCTCATCGAACCCGTCGCTTGCGACGAAGGGCTCAGCGAGTATATTAACCCACAGACATAGCCCACTGAGTTTCTCACCGGATCTTCTCAGAGGGTCTCGTTTCTGATCTTGTGGTAGATTCTGCGAAGCGCGGCTCTTGCTAGAGTTCGTGTTAGCGACAACGTTAGGTTTGAGCCCCGTGAGCTCACCTACTAGTTAAGGTTACGCTGATATAGCCTCTCAAGGCTATCAGCTTAGGTAGGAAAAAAGTATATCTTGTTTACTTTCTCCTTCTTTGTATATTTTGTGTTCGTCTTAAATAAAAACTTTTTTTGTGTACTTTTGTGTTTGCAAAGACATTATAATATCAATCTAAGACGACTAAATACATATTATTTAATTGAAACCGAGCGCGGCCGGCGCTGCTTAACTTAACCAACTAATAGGTTGGGGAAAAGTTTCTTCGCATTTTTTAAGAAAATTCACAACTTTTTTTAATATAGTTTATTTACATTTGAATGGCATCCATTTTATCCGTAATAGGGCGACCAGAGCGACGTGCATCTTTGACATCAAACTTTCCGGATTGAAAACGCTNCATATTATTTAATTGAAACCGAGCGCGGCCGGCGCTGCTTAACTTAACCAACTAATAGGTTGGGGAAAAGTTTCTTCGCATTTTTTAAGAAAATTCACAACTTTTTTTAATATAGTTTATTTACATTTGAATGGCATCCATTTTATCCGTAATAGGGCGACCAGAGCGACGTGCATCTTTGACATCAAACTTTCCGGATTGAAAACGCTTAAACCAAATTTGTGCTACTCTCACAGACACTGACTGCACTAGGTCCATAAACATCGCAAATTTTTTTCGCGGCTTGCGTTGCAGTTTTACCTTTTTTGTAGTAAAATTTTAAAATGTATCGAATTTCTTCATTAGATTCGCTCATCTTGACAGCACGAAAAATAAATAAAAATCACACATTTTCCTAATTTGCATTTGGAATTATGTACTTTAAAATTTAAACTTTTAATGATACCAAAACCAGCCAGATACTAATAGTATAGCCAAAGAGATTTTATTACAAGTTCATACATACTATAATGCGGAAAGAGTTTTTCCCCAACCTATTATGTCGACGCAACGTTACTATTTAGTTAACTAAGATTAATTACGCATGTAAGCAATTGTTTAAGAGGGTATTCAAGAGAATTCATGACTAGGGTACCCCACTTTACTACTATAAATACGAGTTACTTTTGTTGCACAACACTAATATTGCATTGCCCAAAAAAAATAAAAAAACCAAAAAAGAAACGAATGCCCGCATTCGAGCTTTCCTGCTCTTCTTCGTCATCGTCCTCGTCTGCTGCGGGCGCTGGCGCTGAGGAGAAGCTCCCGCAAGGTGCGCCCCGTTCGATCGCAGCGGCCGCTGCTGCTGCGGACGTGAATGCGGAGGTCGAATGGTTCCGGGGCAGAATTGAGAGAATCTGTGATGGATCGACTCCCGAGCACCACGTGCTGATGCGTTCTGATGGTCGCCCGAGATCGCGAGACTCCGCAAGGAGTGCGTGAGGGCGCGCCGCCCTCGTCGCGATGATGCATTCGCGGAGACGGCGGCCCGGCTGCACGCTGACTGTCGCCAAAGGCAGGCGACGCTGCAGCTGGCCATCGGCGAGGCCAAGAAGTAGAGCATGAAGACTCTCCTGGAGTCGCTCGCCGCTGACTACAGTACTAAGGTGGCGCAGCGACCTTCGCTCTATGGGCAAAGGTCGCCCTGGCGAAGGAGTGATTCGAGTGCGGAGGCTCTAATCTCGGACGTCCGCGCTGGAGGCGTGGCCTCGTCGTTTGGCGGACTCGTCGGACGGCCTCCGTACCGTTGAGGTAATCCGCTTGGTTCTCGCGGACTGGGTGGGCCGTGACTGCGGATGCCTCACCTTCCGGCTCACACAAATGCTTACCGGCCACGGATGTTTCAGCCAATACTTGCACAAAATTGCCGGAAGGGAACCGATAGCGCAGTGCCATCATTGCGCAGACCGCGACGAGGATGACACAACGAAACGTACATTGGCGCGTTGCTCTGGATTCGAGAAGCTGCGCGCCGCCCTCGTCGTGGTCATAGTCGCCTGCTGCGCGTCATGCTTGGTAGCGAAGCGTCCTGGAAAGTGATGCTCGATTTCTGCGAGTCTATCATATCGTAGAAGGAGGCGGTGGAACGAGAGTGGGAGAGCTCTTCCGCTCCGTTTCTCCGCATTGATCCGTCGCTGTCGACCCGGGGGACAGAGGAGACAGTACGAGCGTACGTTCCGACCCCGGTAGGAGGCGGCTTCCCCCCGGTAAGGTCATGGGGCGACCTGAGGGGGATGAGGCTGCGCGGTGCGCTACCAGCGCTCTAACGCGCTGCTAAGGAGAGTATCGGGATACTTGGGGTCGACATTTCGAGAGATGTCCTATTTCAGAGTCGTTTGGAAGGCAAAGCCAAGTTGCCGTCCAAAATGCTGGGAGTCCTCAAAAGAGCGAAGCAGTACTTCAGGCCTGGACCACCTGGACAAAGACTTTTGCTTTATAAAGCACAAGTCCGACCTCGCGTGGAGTACTGCTCCCATCTCTGGGCCGGGGCTCCCAAATACCAGCTTCTTACATTTGACTCCATACAGAGGAGGGCCGTTCGGATTATCGATAATCCCATTCTCACGAATCGTTTGGGACTTCTGGGTCTGCGGAGGGACTTCGGTTCCCTCTATATTTTGTACCGTATGTTCCATGGGGAGTGCTCTGAGGAATTGTTTGAGATGATATCATTATCTCGTTTTTACCATCGCACCGCTTGCCACCGGAGTGGAGCCAGTCCAGCGGGGTATTCCGGAACAACAGCGGCACAGTCTATGCGGCCCGACGTGCTGGGCTCGAATTGAGGTTCGGTCGAGACTCACCCCAGTCACGTACCGAACAAGGCGGGCGGCCACCACCCGCTTCCTCGAGCAATTTTCCCGCCTCGTCCAACAACACGATGGGGCGATACCCCGCAAGCGAGTTTGCAGGGTGCCCGTCCTTCCTCAGCAGGACGAGTCTGCCCGTCTTTCACTGCTTCGGAAACCGCCCCGCCTCGAAGCAGGCTTCGAAGAGCCGCTCGAGCCGGTCCCCAAGGGCACCGAAGACTAAATCCTAGGATCGGCACTGAACACCGTCAGGGCCGAAGGCCTATACCACCACGGCCGCAATTTCTTGCGGAACTTTGTGGTATAGGCAGGTCGCGACCGAACACCTATTTAGAAGGCAGAGCCCGGTCCTAATACCTCACTTCGACAGGAACTAGCCATGAACCAAAGCGAAAATAAAACAAAAGCGGTCTTTGCGGCCTTGCATGGACACTAAACTCCAGTCATTGACAATATCATCCATCATTACTACTTGAGTTGAAATAAAAAATCCGTTACTCTCGTACAGTAATCCTGGAAATGGCGAATCGATATTAAGCCTGCACAGCCGTATTAAAGGGGGAAATCAACGGGAATTTCCTCCAACATTAGGCGTAAGAATAATACACTCCGATCTCTCGCACACTTTTGCCAATCAATGCCCCGGGCCAGGAAGGTCACGACGATATGGACCTCGAATCCATCACAAGACACCTGAAGTCAACGTCGGAACGATACTTCAATAAGGAGTTGCGTCATGAAAATCGCCTTATCGTGGTCGCTGCTGACTACTCCTCTACCCCGGCTCACGCAGGAGCCAGTCCCCGTCGATACCCTTACCCTTACACGTCCTTACGGATTAGCATTGTCATTAGACGCCTGCACCTTTAGCATTAGGAACAGGCCCAAGGACCGCGATACCTGCACTCGTCGAACTCGCCAGAGTGTTCGACGTGCGGCCTAACCCATACATCAATCAGCCCGTCGAGCTTCTCGCCGCGTCTTCTTAGCGGTAGTAGATGCATGAAGCAGCTGCCCTTGAGCTGTTAAGTCTCACCCTCGCTTGTAGGTCATTCGAGGTGCTCATTTCGGTAAAGTTACTCGACTAACAGGACCGAGACGGTGCCTAGGCGATCGAAGATCTTGAACTCACTCAATAGAACTAGCAAACCTACCTGCTGCTAAGGAACTTCCTACAAATTTAAGTTAACATTCACGCTATCGAGTAGCCCGATCGAGAAAACAAAAGGAATACACTCCGAGCACACTGCCGTGAATCCACACTGTTTAACTTTTTATTGAGTACTTATTCAAGTTTCCCAAAGAGGATGAGATTGAGGAATACGAAAATAAAGAAAGGTTTCTTGTAAATGAAATTATTTTATTATTAATGAATCATTCAGCATTCGTCAGTCGTCATTTAAATTCTAGCCCGGATCCAGGAGTTAAAGGATGTGACTCTGGCGAAACCGGAAGGGAAGCCTCTTTGGCAGCCTCTGTCTGATACGAACGATGTGATACCGATCTGGAAAGTACAAGAAACAAATGGTAAATGTAGTGAGTCATAAAAGGCTATCCTAATAAATAAACAAATAAATAAACAGATAATATATAGGCAACCAGTTAAAGCAGTAAAGTTAAACGAAACTAGTGTACTGACCAGCTGACGGCCTCCGCCGCTGCCGATGGTGAGAGGGCCGCCGGAGTCTCCGCTGCAGACGCTGCGACCGTTAGAGCCGTCAGCACAGAGAGTGGAGCCAATGATCACAGTGTTTCCAAACGTGCGGGCGCAGACGGCGTTGGTAATGACCTGGAGGCTGACTTGGCGTTTTTGTNAAGCAGTAAAGTTAAACGAAACTAGTGTACTGACCAGCTGACGGCCTCCGCCGCTGCCGATGGTGAGAGGGCCGCCGGAGTCTCCGCTGCAGACGCTGCGACCGTTAGAGCCGTCAGCACAGAGAGTGGAGCCAATGATCACAGTGTTTCCAAACGTGCGGGCGCAGACGGCGTTGGTAATGACCTGGAGGCTGACTTGGCGTTTTTGTTGGTTGTTGGCTCCCGAAGCAGCTGGAATGGTTAATGAATTTTATCAGCACTTTCTCATCACCCAATATTTGTTTTATTCATTTGTGATATCCTATTGCTACCGGTAGCAGTAGAAATAATAAATACTAACCATCGGAGGTCCTCCCGAAGCCGGCAGCCCAGGCCCAAGTACCAGCAAAGTTGTTGCTTCCACTGGCTAGGTTGATGCGCTGGATGTTGTCTGTAATGAGGTGAAGTAGACAGAATCACATTACAGGTGTAGGAACTCTAAAATAATCAATAATTTAAACAAAGCATAAATAATGGTACTGACTGTTGAAGCCAACATGGTTGTGGTTGATGACGGCGACGTCGTTGTTGAGGTTGTTCATGTTGTAGCTGCCGTGCATCTGGACATTGGAGGTGGTGACCCTGGTGCCTCCGGAGAAGATGTTAGCTGTGCCAAAAGCGAGGGTGATCTGACGACCCTGGGCGTTCCTGGTCCTCCAGCAGTGAGCCGCGGTCACGGAGCGGGTGTTGGTCAGTAAGGAAGCTCCGCAGACGGAAGTTCTGCCATTCGTCAGTGCGATCACAAGTCCAACCTATGATATGAGAAAAATAAGAAAAATCAAGTATTTTGATGCGAAACAACATGGTACATTTCAAGGGACAATATACAATCTAGTTTATCGTTGTTAGAGAAGTGCGCTAACGGCCGGAGCGTCCCAGCAGGAGGGTACACGTCGCCGACTCTCCTCTGAACTATATAAATAAATACTGACCGTAACGCAGTGAATGTGTTAACTGGTCCCGTACTAAGTTCGTAAAGAACTTGTATTACAGGTACCAGATAACGGAAATAAATGTAAGATTTTTATTATACACATCCACATATTTAATAAACATCCATAACCCTGGAAAAGACATTTCTATATTTATCATACAAATATCTTCCCTTGGCGGGATTCAAACCCGCGACCCCCTTGTGTACTGACCATGTCACTTACCACTACACCAGACGGCCGTTAAACTATCACAGTAATGGACAAGGCGATAGACACTTGGACACAGCCCACTGAGTATCTCGCCGGATCTTCTCAGTGGGACGCGATTCCGATCCGGTGATAGACTGTGAAGCACTGCTCTTGCTAGGACTGGTGTTAGTGAATTCTATCAGCTTAAGTCTGTGAGCTCACCCACCCGTCCGCGCGAAGTTGGAACAGCCCCTTAGGCTACCAGTGAAAAGGTATAAAAATAATAATAAGATAAAGAAGCCTTTATTAACAACCTAAATTCATATTTAGGTACATACTATTCATTTTTTTTCTTTGCATTTGACATCGGCTAAGGTTGTTTTGCTTTCGCATAGGCCTCCCCCAAATCCTGCCATAAGTTCCGGTCGTGGCATTTCCTCTTCCACGTAGAGCCTGCAACTGTTTTTATGTCGTCTACCCACCTTTGCAACGATCGTCTTCTTAATCTTTTCCCCTCTCGAGGGTACCATTCAGTTACTAATTTAGCCCATTTTTCTGTTTTGCTTCTTAATAAATGACCTATCCATTTCCACTTTAATTTTTTAATTGTGTATGATACATCCGTTATTTTTGTTTTCATACGGATATCTTTTAATTTTATTTTATTCTTTCTTTTAGCATTTAAAATGCTTCTCTCCATACTATGTTGGCAATTGGCATGTCTGCAGTTTTGTTTATGTTCTTCTGAGTTAAAGCCCAGGTCTGACACCCATACGTCATAGTCGGAAGTATATTTGTATTAAATACTTTGCTTTTGAGTGGTAGTGGAATAGACCCGTTTTTTGTTATTACTTTAAGAGACCAGTATCGTTTCCAAGCTACAGTCACTCTGTTTTGAATTTCTTTAGACATGTCGCTGTTAGGAGATATGACCTGGCCAAGGTAGGTATATTCGTCTACATATTCAATGGAATTGTTGTTGATGTGTATTTTTTTTAATGCTTAGATGGATGGACGAGTTCACAGCCCACCTGGTGTTAAGTGGTTACTGGAGCCCATAGACATCTACAACGTAAATGCGCCACCCACCTCGAGATATAAGTTCTAAGGTCTCAGTATAGTTACAACAGCTATACCACCCTTCGAACTGAAACGCTTTGCTGCTTCACGGCGGAAATAGGCAGGGTGGTTGTAATAATTCGTTTGAGATACCGTCTTCACCAGGTGCTTCTTTATTTTTTTATTTTTTTATTATTTTTTTTATTGCCTTTGTAGGCAGACGGGCATACGGCCCACCTGATGGTGAGTGGTTACCGTCGCCCATGGACTTCAGCAATGCTAGGGGCAGAGCCAAACCGCTGCCTACCGCTTAATACTCTCCATAAGCCTCGTTTGAAGAAGGACATGTCATAGCGCTCGGGAAACTGCGCTGCGCTGGAGGGGAGCTCATTCCATAGCCAGATGGTACGCGGCAAAAAAGATCTCTGGAAACGCACTGTGGATGACCGCAGTGGCTCCAGGTAGTATGGATGAACTCTACTCCGGTGGCGGGCGGTGCGATGGTAAAAACGAGATGCTGGTATCATCTCGAACAATTCCTCAGAGCACTCCCCATGGAACATACGGTACAAAATACAGAGGGAACCGAAGTCCCTCCGCAGACCCAGAGGCTCCAAACGATCCGAGAGAATGGGATTATCGACAATCCGAACGGCCCTCCTCTGTATGGAGTCAAATGGAAGAAGCTGGTATTTGGGAGCCCCGGCCCAGAGATGGGAGCAGTACTCCATGCGAGGCCGGACTTGTGCTTTATAAAGCAAAAGTCTTTGTCCAGGCGTGAAGTACCGCTTCGCTCTGTTGAGGACTCCCAGCATTTTGGACGCCAACTTGGCTTTGCCTTCCAAATGACTCCGAAACTGGACATCGCTCGAAATGTCGACCCCAAGTATCCCGATACTCTCGGAAGGTTGCAGGGATACTCCTTGGAATTGCGGCGCCATGACAAAGGGGTCCTTCTTCGCAGTGAACGCGCAAACTTGTGTCTTTATCGGGTTGAATTGAACCAAGTTCAATTCACCCCATTCGGAGACTCGCCCCAGACACAAGTTTTGATCGTCTCTCATTCAGTTTTTTGTGATTCAATGGCTTTAACTATTTCGTTTTTCATGATTGGTGGGATTTCCTCTCCTTCATCTTTGTTATCAAGATATTTATCGTTCGTGTTGGTAGGATTTCATCGTCATACAGATCTTGATAAAATCGGGTTGCTATTTCCAATATTTCGGGACTTTTTGTTTTATATTTTTGATCTTTTTGATTTGTCATTCCTGGTATCCAGTTGGTATAATCCTGTATTTCCTTCCACGCATTTTTCATGCTTCCCGTGGATTCCACATGAAATATAATTGGTTCTTCTCTTATTTTGTGTCTATGCTTTCAAATAGATTCATTGATTCTTTTGCTTAGGTTAGATATTGCCTTTCTGCTTGTGGGTTTCTGCTGTCTCAAATTGTGGCTCTCTATAACTAGACTTCTAGCTAAATAATAGATAAATAATAATAATAATAATAATTAAATGGCTAATATGCTATGTTTCGATCAAAATTTGAATGAAAGTTTGAAATCGGTAGGATTAGTGCGTATTGGATAGCAGTGGGTACTTACAAGATGGGGGTGAGCACCAGCGTTGGCGGCAGAACCACCCACAATCCTGGTACCGTCGAAGTCAGCGGCTTCCTCGGCGCGTCTAAGACTCTCGGCCCGGGGGATACCGATCTTGTTGTGGTAGTCGAGTTCGATGGGCTCTTCTGCCACGACCACGGCCGCCAACGCCATCAGTACTGCTGCGAAGACCTTCATGGCTACTACCAGTTTAAAGGTTCCCTCGAGTAGAATGTTGTCAGTCATCACTTCGGTGTCTTTTATACTTGCAAAAATAGTATCTTATCTCAACAAAAGTATCATTTCAAAATTTAATTAATTTTACATGTAAATGATGATAAAATTAAATTGCGAAAATAATCCCACTGCTCATCAAATCATCATAGATAATAAATTGACGAGACCTTGTTTGCGTCTGGGTGGGCCCGGCGTGTCGTGTGAATTAGCCGCCTGATCTAAGCATTAACGGCTCTTACCAAATGTTTCAAGATTTATTCATGATCCAGTTGTTAAAGTATGTTTATTGGGACACTAAGTTTATGTCTCTGTAAGTAGAGTATTATTATTATTTATCTATTATTTAGCTAGAAGTCTAGTTATAGAGAGCCACAATTTGAGACAGCAGAAACCCACAAGCAGAAAGGCAATATCTAACCTAAGCAAAAGAAAAATGAATCTATTTGAAAGCATAGACACAAAATAAGAGAAGAACCAATTATATTTCATGTGGAATCCACGGGAAGCATGAAAAATGCGTGGAAGGAAATACAGGATTATACCAACTGGATACCAGGAATGACAAATCAAAAAGATCAAAAATATAAAACAAAAAGTCCCGAAATATTGGAAATAGCAACCCGATTTTATCAAGATCTGTATGACGATGAAATCCTACCAACACGAACGATAAATATCTTGATAACAAAGATGAAGGAGAGGAAATCCCACCAATCATGAAAAACGAAATAGTTAAAGCCATTGAATCACAAAAAACTGAATGAGAGACGATCAAAACTTGTGTCTGGGGCGAGTCTCCGAATGGGGTGAATTGAACTTGGTTCAATTCAACCCGATAAAGACACAAGTTT